ACCCCACAGATATCACTTCTAAGCTGGGAACTGACCAGAAGAAGCCAGGCCAGACAGGGAAGGACATTTCAGGCAGCTAGAGCCCAGAGAGGTCAAGAGTGCCTGCAGTGTGAACTGAGAATAGAAAATTCAGTGTCAGGGGCACAGAGGGTGTGTGAGGCAGCAGCCAGAGGCCAGAGAGCAGCATTCAAGGTCTCCTAAGCCATTCCTTGGAGCCTGGTCTTCATCCAATGGGCAAGGGGAGTCACTGAAGGGATTTAAGCAGAGGAGATATGGGGCTGGGTCAGGAGCTTAGGTAACTCTGCTGCTAGGAGGTTGGGGGGGGCGGGGGGGGCACGGGCCTGGAGGCGGGAGCCACTCAGAAGGCTCCAGCAGTGGTCCAGGAGGTGACGGCACCAGAACTGGTGGAGGGAAGCAGGTGGCAGTGAGCATTAAAGAAGTGGACTCTGGGACGAGGAGGTGAGGGGGGTGGGGTGGGGGAGTGGAGGTGCCAAGGGTGAGTCCAAGGGAGCTGTGGATGGATGCAGGATGAGATGGCAGCAGTACCCACTGAGATAAAAGGCCGGGAGAAGAGCAAAGAACTTCAGAGACAATAAGTTCAGTTTTGAACATGCTGAGCTGGAGGCCCTGGGAGTATCCAAGCAAGAGTTTTTTTCCAGTGTAATTAAAGTAGAGACCTGTCCACTCCACCAGTCCCACCACTGCAGGGAGGAAGAGGAGAGACGCTGCACCCTGCCCCCACCACCATTCACACCAGAGAGCGACAGCCACTGAATCCCTTCCCACCGTCAGGCTGGCAGGATGGCAGAATGAGAGCGTGTGGGGGGTGGAAGGTGAGCCTGTGGGTCTGACCTGGAGATCCTCCAGGGCACACAGCCAGAGACATACACAGAGCTAGGGGAGAGAGGGTCACAGGGGCCCTGGGACCTAGAAGACCTCTGCAAGCCTTTCCCAACATGAAGCCTCCACATGAATTCTACCAGCTCAGGCCTTGTCCCGCCCCTGCAGTGATGGGAGGGCTAGGCTCAGTGCTTTCTGCTCCAAGGTCCTCAGGAGAAGGTCCTTAGCTGACAGTCTCCCATCTGACTGCTTCATTTCACAGGCAGCGCTGAGATGCGGCAAATGCCCAAGGTCTCAGGTGAGCAGTCCCTGCCTGTCCACCTGGCACGTACCCCTCTGTAAGCTGAGGGACGGGACCGAAGCCCAGCAGGAAGGAGGGCCTTTGTTCCAGCCCTGGAGTCCCATTGGTGAGAGAGAAACGGTGCCCTATCAGGAGCACCTATGCACACGGCCCATCGCCAGCATCCCTAGAATATCTAGGTGTCACAGGAGAGACCAGGGATTGAGGCATCAGGCCCAGGATCCCCATAAAGCAGAGGCCCAAGCTTTCCTCCAGGACTCGGAAAGTTTCCAGGAGACCGGGAGAGCTCGGGCTGACCAGACCTCACCTACCACCAGTAGCTCCACTGAGGCCCTGGAGAAGGGCCCTCCATCAACAGGAGACTCACCAGCTTCTGGAAGAGATGGCCCATGGTGACCTGGCTGTCCCACTGCTGCACTTTGGGGCAGAGGTTGTCATAGAACTCTTTATGGATCTCATAGATGTCCTGGATCTTGTAGAAGATGGTTTCGATCTGCTGGATGGTGAGCACAGGCTGGGAGGTGGTGGCTGTGGCCTTCAGGGGTTTCATGGGCTGGGAGAGAGGAGGGAAAAAAGAGCAGAGGTGAGGGGCAAATAAACCAGAGCGTCCGCAGGTCCAGGACACTGATTAACCCTTCCTGCTACCCAGGTTCTCCCTAGACAAAGCAACAGGGGGCAGGGCACTGGAAGTGTGGTTCGTGTCAGGCAGCTGCTGCTACAGGCCCCAACAAACCATGTGCATCTGCGAAGAAAGGGAACCTGACAGCTAGAGCCTGGTCCGGCAGCCCTGCCAGGCCTCAGGGGTGATACCAGGACACATTTCCCTCACCCCTTGTCCCCTGAGGAGCCCCTGGCCTCCAGCCTGTACTGGGCTCACTTTTGAATTTAACAGGATCCATGTCTTTCTTCCACAATGGCCTCATGCTCCCAGTCACAAGCTCTCTTGTCACACTTCAGTGGAAGGGAGGGTTGACTGGGAACCCCTTAGGTGTTTCCTTCCAAGAAACAGAGAACAAGATTCTAGGACTTGGGAGTACAGTCTCAAAGAGACCTAAGGCCAATCTCAGCTGCACCAATATTTCACGTTCTCATCACTTAGCACAGAGAGAGTCAACAGGTGGCACACGTGCCACTGTCCTACTTCCTATACCCATGGCAGACATGGCTAAGTGATCACAATGATCTGTCTCACTGAGCCGGGTTGTAGTCTCAGGCTCTTTCTNCTGTCCCCATCTCCTTAGCCCCCAAGGAACCAGAGGCCCAGCCTCACTACCCATTTGCATGTCACTACGCTTTCCATGACTTCTGATCACACAGAGCCTCGTCTCTTCTGGTAGGCACAACAGATGCCATCACCCCGTTCTGCAAAAGGGAAAACCAAGACGCATTCACTCAATTCCTCGAGTATTTATGGAAAGCCTCTGTGCTGTGCATATACACTTCCTCTTAAGGGAGCAAAGGGTGGAAACGTGAATTAAAACTACAGACAGATAGTACTACTTTATACCTATCAATCTGGCCAAAATTTAAAAGTTTAATGATATCAAGGATTGGCAAGAGAGTGGAGGAACTAGGAACTTTCACAGACTGCTTGCGGGGGTGTAAATGAATTCAATTCTTTGAAGAGAAATTTGTTAATAATTAATAAATTAAAAATATGCATAGTTCAGGGCCGTCCGAGTGGCGAATTGGTTAAGAGTTGGCTTGGTAGATGGGGGAGGGGAGTTGTTTCTGTGTGAGGGGTTAAAAGGATAACTATTGCATTGTTCTGTACACCTGAAACTAACAATAAAAATTAAAAAAAAATAAAGAGTTGGCTTGGGAGCGCCAGCTCTGAGCAGCAGGGCCCAGGTTCGAATCCCACGTGAGGGCCAATGACGCTGCGCCCTCTATAGCTAAAATGGTGAACAACAGCTCGACCTGGAGCTGGGCTGCCATGAGCCGCTGGCAACAGTGGGCTGCTGTGAGCTACCGTGAGTGGCTGGCAACCAGCGTGAGTGGCTAGCAGCCAGTGTGAGCTGCTGTGAGCCGGCGTGAGCAGCCATCCAACGGCAAAAGAGCTACTGCCTCACCCGGGAAGAGCACAATGATCACAATACCAACATGGGCCAGTGACGTGACGTCCTCCATAACTAGACTGAAGAACAAAAGGACAGCAGCTTGTCTGGTCCCCTCCCCAATTTCCCAATAAAATCTTAAAATATATATATATATGCATAGTTCAGCCTACTACTTAGCAAATCCACTTCTGTATACAGAGCTCTGCTATCCAATACAGGAGCCACTCACTATGTACATCTACTGAGCACCTGAAATGTGACTATGCCAAACTGAGATGTGCTGTAAGTGTAAAATACCATATGTCCCCATGTATAAGACGCTCCCATGTATAAGATGCACCTTAATTTTGGGGCCCGAAATTTGAAAAAAATGTATTACATAGTTATTGAACTCAAGTTTTATTCATCATAAAATTCATAC